GATAAAGTTTAATTTGAGAAAAAAATGAAACTTAGAAATGAAATGAAACTCACTTCTAGAATGTCATAAATGGCATCAAGCAAAATGCCGAGTATCTTTGGATCTTTTCGCTTCAGGAAATTACACAATGCTGGCAGTACGCCTAGAGTCACTAGAAAATCGATCTGCTGATCTTTACCAGCAGTAGCGATGTTGTAAACGACCCATGTTGCTTCTACCTGTGTTCGAAAATCGCCCTGAAATTTCGCATAAATGATGTCGCAAACGATAAAACGTGCCACGGTAACATACCTCGCTAAGAAGCTCAATGACAAGAGACATTATTCCAGAATTTAAGATTTCCTGCATCTGGTCAGTAGTGCCAGCGGCAACGTTCGATATCAACCAACATGCTTCCTTGACTATCGCTTTTTTCGACGAACGCAGCAGCAATGGCATTAGGGTTTTTAAGATCCCTGTGTCCACAACCATCTATAACAAATGAACCAATACGTACGATGAAATATTTATTCTACATTAAACCGCAGTAGACTAAGACATTCCTTCCAAAAGTGCACAGGCGTCATCTGAGCACAACCAGCCTAACAAGCAGCTTAAACTATCGATAAGAAATAACCACAAAACCAATGAAACCCGTAATATAATCCACCTCGAAATAGCACACCAACTGCGCAACAACTACATGCAATACCTCTGAACATGGCCAATAACGGTAGCACTACGCTGCATTTACATAAATTTCAAAAACCTATCAAAACTTCACATTAGCCAGTATATCATTCGTAACTCCTAACGAGGACTGGTCTTTGCCTTACTGTCATCCAGTATGATACATCGCCTGAGCAGTCTCCACCAAATAAACCCTGCTTACGATGTGCCAAGGATAAGTTGATATGATAATATCAGAAACGAATAATTCTCGAAATAATCAAACATTTTAGAGGTACACAGAGCCAGAAACTTGGCCATTTTTATCATTTACTGGAAGCCTAAGTCCCTACGCTTCAGTGGATCATAAAAATTATGCTGTTAAAATTCTTTACTCTAGAATGTAAATCCACAGTGAATATTTGCTGAAGCGCAAGAATTCGAAAAATTCTTTTCATTCATTTTAGTGCCTCGAAATAAGGAACCAAATTTCCTACCCATATAAAGAATTACCGGATTTGAAATTCAGAGAGACAAACTTCACTACTTTTCGCAAACCAAACCTTCAGAAGCAACATGAAAAACAAAAAAA